GACAGGGGATGGAGAACCATCCGACTCCAACCCTGCAGCAGTCAGGCGGAAAAAGACAGTGTAACTAAGAGGATGACCTTATTTCCATGACAACAGAAAGGACAAAATCATCAATTGGCTTTGGGATCCTTAGATTTAGGTCCTTCGATGGGTTTTGGTGTAAGCTGGTGTGCATATTGTACATAAAAAGATCTGCTTAGTTGTTTAATTAATTTAAACAATTAGTGTTTAGTTTATTAAGACTGCAATTTTAAACACTCAATTCTCCCTTGGGATTACGTTCATCTCACAAATCATGATTCTGTATGCAAGCTAAGCAAAACAGAGCAGCCACTTTCCAGGGAGATTTGATTAATGTTTGGTCCTTTTTTCCCAACTTGAATACATTCAAATGTTTTAAATAACAAAAATGTGATACATTCTATTTCCTTTTAAGTACATCATTTATCTCTAGGTTACAAACCTTGCTGAGTGCTTAATAATTGTTATAAAGCCATTAAATTTATAGAGTAGACTTAAATGTTAATATAGTATTCCTAAATGCGGCACAATTTTGGCTTAAAGTCTCTAAAGTGATAATTCAGCTATTCATTGTAAATTGGTTTTCAAACCTTGTCACCCTGTTAAGTTCCATAAATATTAGTAGGACAGAAAAGGTCAAATGTGGACCAAAAAACATTAATAGCGTGGCTTTGGGACTTTAGCCTTTCTACATTTAATTTTTAAATCTTCCTAGACTTGAGTTGTGTATATTCATCAGGGAAGAAAATTACTTGGAAATAACTGAGGCCATTGCAAGCTAGACCTTCTGACAGGGCTGTAGGTGCCCAGGACAGCTTGCAACCTCCCTACTAAGGTTAGAGTATCTGTGCCATGATTTACAGAACTGGAGGAAGGCTTGGTCTCCTGGATCCAATGGCCAGCACCCCTGGTACAAATATACACACAGTACCGGATTCCTCATCTGTCTTGGGGATGGGACATCCAGGTTGGTCTTTTACCCTTAACATAGGAATATGTATTTTCCACCTAACTGTGGATGGTCTTTGTATTTGGTGATGGTTTTTATTTTCTGTTTATAGTTTTGAACATGTTCACATAAATAAACAAGCAGTTCATTGTTTTCCTAGAAATCTAACCCAGGGTTTCACGTGTAACTCGGCGAACGCTTGGCTGAGCCACATTCGCAGCCTCAGTAAATGATGTCGACGTTTTGCTGGTGGTATTGATGGTCTGAGGAACGAAACTTGGGGCCTTGCTCCTGACAGTCAAGTACTCTACCACTAAGCCACAGCTCCGTCCTAAAATGTGCTTTTTATTTGATGTTAAGCAGGACGATAGGTATTTAAATGTCTTTTCTAACTGAGGAACTTTGAGCTCCATGGATTCCCGCATTGTTAGATATGCTTAATACCACACAATGGTTGCTATTGTTCAAAGGACCAACTAGGTTTTATTTTTTATATAAATTTTATTTATTTATTTATTTTATGTATATGGGTGTTTTGTCTACGCATACATCTGTGCATCACATGCATGGCTGGTGCCTGCAGATTTCAGAAGAAGGTGTTGGATCCCCTGAGAGTGAGGGGATGGTTGTGAACCACCATATGAGTGCTGGAAATTAAACCCAGGTCTTCTGAAAGAGCAATCAGTGCCCCTAACCACTGAGCCATCTCTCCAGACCTTCTTGTGTTTTATTTTGTTTTTTTTTCAAGAAAGGTTTCTCTATACAGCCCTGGCTGTCCTGGAACTCTCTTTGTAAACCAGGCTGGCCTCAAAAGCACAGAAATCTGCCTGCCTCTGCCTCTGAGTGCTGGGATTAAAGGCGTGCGCTCTTAACAGCTGAGCCATCAGCTGATTCTCGCCCCAGCCCTTGCAATGAGGTTTTAGATGTCCTTGTTAAATCTAAGCCTGATTTGTTCCCACTGTCCAAACTCATTCTTCTAACTCTGTGAGAAGGAGAAAAACGTGTAGCGTTCTCATAGGATGATGTCTGAGCTAGGCCGTGATGGTCTCTGTTGTAGCAGGTGGGAGATACACAGGCAAAGGATGAGGAACAAAAAGCTTTACGACAACATTTAGTAATGTGGGGTGCGAGCTCACCCACTCTGCTTATTTTACTTTTATTTGGCTATGTCCGTGTGTGTTTGCACATGTTACCATAGCACACATGTAGAGGTCAGAGAACTTTGTGGAGAAGGTTCTTTCCTTCTGCCCTTACCAGGGCTTGAACTCAAGACATCAGGCATGAGTGGCAAGTGCTTTACCCACTGAGCCATCTCAGCGGTACTATGTTATACAATTTTGTAGGCTTCTAAGTGTGTGGCATAATGACCAGTTAGTGGAGACAATGTTCATGATGAGATATATAATTCACAGTTAATCTTTAGCTTGTAATTTTTGTTAACTGTGTATAGCTAGCCACTTGAGGATTTTTCCGTTGATTACAAATATTCCTTACAACTTGTCCAGACACCCCAGCTCGATGTCAAGAACTTTAATAAAGCAGTTGGAATGTCGCTTATTACACGGCAAAACATTCTAGAATCATTTGACATTTCTTTTCCATTTGCTAGTCAACTATCAACTGTCAGATCATATTAAATATTGTATAGATTTCAGTCAGAAGCTGTCACCCCCTGCGTGTATTGTCCTTCCTAGTCAAGGGCAGTGATTGGCCATATGAATGGGTAGATGTTAGTCATCAGCTTACATCTGTGTTTCTGACGGCACGAAATTGCCTCTGGATTCAGTTGCCAGGTGAGGTGATGGATGCAGGCACCACCAACGAGTTGCAGACCGTCATGAGTCATGAGTGTCCCACTCACCTTGACAAGCCTCTCTGTTTCCAGACAGAAGGAAAAACTGACAGCCAGCTTGCCAACCTCTCTACATCGTAGTAAGGCTGACGTTCCGTGTTGTTACTACCTAACACCCACAGACTGTTTATATGACAGGGCTTCCACTCACAACTTTATATGAAATGATTCTTTTAATCTTCACAAAACCTGTGGAGTTATTGGTTCTGAGAGTTCATATATATATATGTGTGTGTGTGTGTGTGTGTATACATCTTCTGTGAACAATTTCATAAAAGTCTATGGTAGCACTGAGTGTATCCCCTGCCCCATTCTGAAAACTCTCTTCTGTCACGTCTTGCATTTTTTAATGAATGAATGAGGGTTTAGAGGAACCTTAGTAACTCATTGTCCAGAACGGCAGAACCTAGACACAAGCTTAAGCAATTCAAGTCTATGGCCTTTTCTGTTTCTCATGTTTCTGCTGGATGGATGCTGTCAGTTAGGAATGCGTCAAGATATAGATAACCAAAATTCAACACGTAGTGGTCTACAGAGCAGCAATGTCTTTTTCTCCCATAAAAGGAAAGATGGGGACAAGCAGCTCCTGGCGTTGGCACGGTGCCCATCAGCATCAGGACCAGGGTTGCCGCTTCCCTGGCCTTTCCTTGAAGCAGCAAAAGTGACTGCTTCACGGTTAAGCATCATATCGACATTCAGGGCCCAAGGAAGAGAAAGAGTTGGCAATGGCCATAACTGAAAATTTAACACAAAAGCCAACATTTCCTTATTTGTACACATTGTGGTGAAAAACTGGGCATGATACCACCTTTATCTGCAAGAGTAAGAGGCAACAGGGAAAAGAGAACTGGGATGACTGACGGCCAGCCTCAGAGCTACAGAGTCCATGGATTATATAGGCCTCCTTCCCTTCGTTCCTATTAAAAAGCTCAAATACTTGATCAATGTATTTATTCCTTTGCTTTCTATGATGTTTGTGAACAGTAAGAGGAAGCTGTGCTTCCGCTAAGTGCGTTGGACTCACTTGACGCGATTAACAGAATCTCCTGAGAGAGAAAGTGGATGAATGTCGGCCATTTATCCAACAAATACCAAAGCACACTGATTGACTCTGAGGGTGAATTAGTGACCAGAACAAGAAAGAAAGGGAGGGAGACAAAAAGAGAGATCAAGAGGGAAGGAAGGAAGGGAGGGAGGGAGGGACGGAGGGACGGAGGGACGGAGGGACGGAGGGAAGGGAAGCCAAATTGAGGGAATCTTCCAGAACACAAATCTGGGAATGAGGCTGGTTCCCAAACTAGAAATCACAGATCTGAGATGCTTCAGAAAATCTGTGCTGTGGGCTGGGTGCAGCTCCATCCTGCACAGCCTGCTTTCCCTTCACTGGCTCAGCGAATAGGCTAGGGTGGCCCACACTGCCTGAGTTTTCACATTCTGTTGAAACAAACAACTCGCACTAAACCACAGTCTCCAGTCTATAGTTCGGAAACCAGGGAGACAGAATTTGACTGCATCAGCCAGGAAGAGTTTTACCCTTGCAGGTGAGGGCTGAGTGGCAGGGGTCATTTGAGTGAAGCCGACAGCTTGAATTCAAATATCCCATAAAGCTTTCTGTCGTCACCACCCCCCTCCAGGCTGGTTGACGCCCCCGTTGGACACTTAGTGGTGTTGGACACCGCCACTCACCAAACACACTACCATTCTCATCCCCACTCCCCAAGTCTGGAAGTTAACTGTCTTGAAAGACACACTTATTTAGCTCTGTAAGAATGGGCTAAATCAGGATCATTTTAAATATTTTCCATCACTTTTATATTCTAATGTGTTACATTTCCCTGCCCCCCCCTCCACTCCCCTAGCCCCACCCCTGAGCCCTACCAGCCCTTGTCCCTGTCTTTCATGGAATGGGAGGCGTACAGCTCCCTTCTCACATTGGGCCAAGTCCACAGGAGCCAACACTTCCATTACTACGTTTGGTTCCAAAGTACATACTGCAATGGGGTCAAGATACTCGTTTATGACCCATATAAACTATATGCCCAGGAGATATGGTTAACTTGGTGGTTTTTTTTGTTTTTTTTTTTTTTGTTCTGAAATCTCTGCATCTCTGAATGAATGTTTTTTTCCATTCAGGGACAAAGTGAATATCTGACCTGCTGCTAATGTTTATTTCTGCAGGCTGTGGACTCTCCACCACAGACAGGAGGATGGGCAGGCTGGGGATCCTGGGGGAAATCTCTGCTCTCATCTGCATCAGCCACAGTAGGTAAGTGTTGGGTGTTGCACCAGAACAGAGTTCAGAAGCTTGATGGGACAAGAGATGGTGACATAGCATATATTGGTGGAGATTAACATTTGCCCATGAGATATCCATTTTTAGTGTTCAAGTCAGTATTGTTTGGGGTGGGATTTGGAAACCACATAATGTGGTTTTAAACCACTGTCTTTATTATCCCTAAAAGTATAGATTTAAGATATAGATAAATGCATATGTACACACATATTTATGCATACACATAAATACAGATACACACACAGAGTTTTTTTTAAAAATTGAGTCTTTCTGTGTAGTCTGGGCTGACCTTGAACTTGTGATTCTCCTGTGTCAGACTCCTGAGTGCTGGAATTACATGTGTGCACCACCACACCCAGCTTACTTATAGCTATGTGTTTATCATCCAACTCTACTAGTTTTTGCTTGTTTTATGTCACTTTGGTGTTCCATTTGTTTGAGAGAGGGACTTGCCGTCCCTTGAATGCATTTAGCTGAACAACTCTCTTCTCTTTGCATAGTTAAACAAATATTCAGCAACATTTTTCCCTTTTTTGTCTAAATAAAAAGGAAAATAAATTTTTTAGCTTTAACATAGTACAACTATATACAATAAGAACAATTATCAAGTAAGAATTACATTTATAATATCTAGTCCATTTGCATTTGGAAAATTCATAGAAAATACTCTATCCTATTTTGGTGAATCCAAAGTTGTGTACCTAATTTACTTTCTATCCTAACTTGTATTACTAATCCCAAATGAATGCAAACTCCATATGGAGGTTCTTCAGTACCCATCATCCTTCTATGAAGTAGATTGGTGCTGTCAGGAGCAATGTCTCACTAAGTCTTAGGTTATTAAACATCTTAATGCCATATTCTGTAGGTCTCTGAAGCATTTGAAAATCACCTATCTATCTAAAATACATCTGTTTAACTTTGAAAACATATGTAATGTGTTTGATTGTTATAAATGACTACTACTAAACTGGATTCTTAAATTATCCTAAACATTCTGTAATAATAGTTTCCAAGAGCTAGAACTTTATACTACATTTTAAAATGAACTGCGTAGGCACAACACCCTAAGCCTTGCCTATCCTTTCTCCTGCCTTGCTATTGGCCATTCAGCTCTTTGTTAGACCAGCAGCAGCAGTGTTTTATACAGACAAAGTAAAACAGCTTCACAAGTTAAATGCAACATAAAAGAAGGCAACACATCTTTGCATCATTAAAACAAATGTTCCACAGCATGCACAAATATAACAGTTCTTAAAATAGTATTTTACAACATAACAGTATAACTAAACTTCTACTCATGCTATATGAAAAGATGCCATGTAATAGTAAGTCATGAGGACTGTGTAACCAACATTTACCATGTCTCATCCAGCCTCAGAGCTGTTCCCATGTCAAGGGATCAGCATGTATGTCACCTGTTTTGTAGGTTTTCTAGGTTTATTTCTTTATGTCTGTAGCCAGGATTTTTCAGGGTGTCTCCCCCAGTCAAATCTGATCTCTATTAATTTTGAAGGAATCCACAGCCTTTCATTTCCTGTGGAAATAAAAACACAATCTTTCCCCAACACAATACACTTTCTGAATTCCATTTTAAAGTTAAAGCATCCCTAAAGTATCTCGGCTGGTGTAATTCAGCATTTCCTTTTACAGACAGACCATTGTCCCTTAGCAGCTGTGGTTCACTCAGCAACGTTCAAAAAATTCAAAGTCAACAAAGCACCATACAGGATCCAGACTCCCTGTATATCTCCCATCTTTACATGGCTTATTCTTTTTATACTACTTTACTCTTTCTTTAAAGACTTTACCTAATTATTTTTAAACTATTTACCTTTTCTGCGACTGCTTATACCCATTTTTCTTTTCTTTCTTAAGTACCTCTTCACACTGTAACCTGTTTAAAGATTTTTTTTTTCAGTCTGGACCTCTTTCATTGTGCACCTGTAGTGTTCTCTGAGCATGTGAGCCAAACCTTAAGCTGCTAAGTAACAGCTAGGCCCTCCACTGTGAAACTCTGCCAGGTGGCTCTGCCCCCTCCTTGGTCTGTGAAAGCCAAGCCTTAAGCCCACAGGCCTGGCCAAGGTCTGCATTTATTGTTAATTGTGAATACTAGGCCTTAGCTTAGGCTTGTCCACACTTGTTCTTTTTAACTTAATTTAACCTGTTTCTTTTCATTTATGTTTTGCCTCGGGGCTTTTTATCTTTCTTTTATTCTGTATGTCCTACTTTTCTGGTTCCTCCATGTCTGCTTGATTGGCCCCTGGTTTCTCCCTGGCTTCTCCTTTTCTTTCTTTCTTTCTTTCTTTCTTTCTTTCTTTCTTTCTTTCTTTCTTTCTTTCTTTCTCAAGCCTAAATTCCTCTTCCTACTTATTTTTCTTGCCTAGAAGTTACACCTATACCTCCTCCCTTACTATTGACCATTCAGCCTTTTATTAGACCAATCGGATGCCTTAGGCAGGCCAGGTAAAACAGCACCACATCTTTACATAGTTAAACAAATATTCTACAACAAAAACAGGTGCAACAAATCTTTACATGGTTAAACAAATATTCCACAACAGAAAGTTCAGTGCGTTTTCTCTTTAAACTGTAAATACACAGTCTACAGTTGCACAAAGAAATCACCATCCCTGTGGGAATGAATGGTCATGGGTCCTTTCTGAGCACACTTTGGAGTGCTCTCCTGCAGATACTCCCCAACACCCCCGTGAGTCCTCCATTATGTCTCACCCATCAGTGGTTCACCTATTCACTGGATCTGAACTTCCCTGAACTTTCGTGGGGCTTCTCAGCACTGACAGATTGCTTTCCTGTTGGTGCAATATCCCAGCATTCTCTTTAGGTCATCTGGCCTTGGCAGGTGCGCACCTAGCTTCTGGTGGACTTTACTCCACAGCATCTGGCTTCTGTTACCTGCTTCAGGTGTAACCGGTAGATGTGGTGCTGCCTGTGCAGGGAAGGCAGGCTGTGACTCTGTGTGCATCGCACTCTGTCCTTTAGGCCTTGTCGGCAGTATCTCCCATGGCAACCTTCACTTGGGCTTGGTGTTACTTTTGAAGTCCCTCTCCCTGAGGCGCCATGAAGATGATACGTACAGGATCTTGCTGCCTTCACAGCCACTTAAAGGCCCTGCTGGTTGCCCCCCAGCATAACAGTTGACCCAACAGAGCCTGGAGCTTATGCTCCTGCCCGTGGACCAACATCGCCATTGTGCCAGTCGCTGTCACCCCATTCCCACCGTCACCCCTAGTTTTTTTTCCCCTATTGCTGTCGCACAACATCTTGATAAAAGCACCTTAAGGAGAAGGGTTTCTCACAGTTCTAGGGTGCAGTCCATCACGGCAGGGAAGACATGACAGCGGGAGCCTGAGATGACTTGTCATATTCCAGCCATGGCCAGGAAGCAGAAAATGATTAACGCTTGTATTTGGTCCACTTTTTTTTTCTTCCTAAACACTTTTTTTTTTACATTCTATTTATTATTTTTAATTGGGGAGAGGGGAGCGCATTCCACGTATGGAGATCAGAAGACAGCCTACAGGAGGCAGCTCTCCTTCCACCATGTTGGTCCTGGAGATTGAACTCAGGTCATCAGAATTAATGGCAAGAACTTTGGCCTGTATAGCCAGCCATCCTGCTGACCCATCTTCTCATTTTTATACAGTCCAGGATCACACCCCAGAGAATGGAGCCACCCAGAATGCATTGAGGTCCAGTGCCAGCCTGGACCATAACTTATTTCTCTGGACTAGAGGGGAGGTGTGGGATTAAAGACACAACTCACATGGCTTTATCAGTAGGGAGATTTTCAGAGGTCCCTCATGAAATCCTGAGTTCACATCCTGAAAATTCACTTGCGTTTACTCTCCAAACAGCTTTTATACCAAGCCATAAACTGAGGGGGAAATTCATTACCATTCTGTTTCCTAGGTAACTGGGCAAAGGTCTAAGGTCACACCCACACCTATCTATGCCTGCTCTGTCACCTAGGCTGAATTAATATCTCTATCCCAGGCATCCTCCAAATTACAAAGAAGGAGCAGAACAACATTAGCATATCCTGATCTTTTGTTAGGTTTGTCTGGGAAGGCTAGGTGACTGCCTTCTGTGAGGCCAGGTGCAAACTATGGCCCGAGAGTCTGGCCGCCGTACAATGTAGACATATGGGCCTGTATAATATATGGCCCTACAACAATGGGCGGGTCTTCCCTTAATTAAGTTAATAAGATAATCCCCATAGACATACTCAGAGACTAATTTAGCCTCAGTGATACAGGAAAGGGATGCCTGCAGGACTGTCTCCTAGGTGACTCTAGAGCGGATCCAGCTGTCACTAACCATCTCGCCCTCGTGTGGTCAAGCTATGCTTTCATGCAGTCACATTTACAGACCCCCGTAAACGCGAAGGGAGTTTAATATACCCACCTTGTTTTAACACTACCAGAGGTGGGTGATGATGATGGCGTGTGCGCGCGCACACACACACTTTAAACATAGATAAATTTCTTTGCAGACCTTACACAGAACTAAACAGCATGAGAGGAGATGGTGTTAGGGGTCTCAAGGCTGGAACCAGAAAGCAATGGTCAGGACTTGGATTCTCAAAAGACAATGGAAAAGTCACTGCCGGAGTGGGGATTGGAGCGGGACCATCTGTGAACAGGGATTCTGTAAAGTTATGGTTTCCAATGCTGCTGATGCTCCAAGCTCCGACAGATTTCTCCAAATCCATGGTCACACAGGCAGCTCTCATTAATCTCAGTGGAACACATACAAATGCAGGAGTGTGTGTGTGTGTGTGTGTGTGTGTGTGTGTGTGCGCGCGCGCACAGAAAGGGAGAGATATGAATGGATGAGGAGGGGTAGGACATAGGAGCTGAGGTTAGTCAGTAAGTACGCAAAGTGTGCATATGTAAAATTGTAAAAAAAAGGTAAAGATTTAGAAATGGAAAAACACATTTTTTTAAGTT